ACGAATAAAATATATTTTAACAAATAAACTCTTTGAAACTATTAACAACACGATATATACAATACAAAATCTTCTATTTCTTGCTTAACAATCTGTTCCTCACTCTTCGACCGCTTTCGCTGACTGCCCTTGACTCGCCTTTCCTAACTGTCCTACGGCCGCTACTCCTCCTGAAACAGACGCTAAGAAAAGGTGGCGCTGGAGTTCCGTCCCGCGCACACCTACCACTTCCGGCATTCGTCGGTATCCCGGAAACGAACACGCTTTCCACTTTGGTGAGTCGCGGTAGACGCCGCCACATCACCCCCCTACAAGTCGCTCACTACGTTAGAGTGAGATGACGATTGGACTCGTTGATATGTTCTTCCGTCGTTTGCTCGACGTACACCGGTTTTAGCCTGTCGATGGCTATGTTATGTTCCTTTTCTTTTATTTTGATGGTGAAGTATTTTGGGGCCCTTGTTCTTACTTCGTATGGCTCTTCATAAGGTGGGTCGAGTGATTTTTTGTTGGCTTCGACTCGTACGAAGACGTGCGTGGAGGTTAACAAGTTCTTGAAGATGAACAGCTTCTTTTTCCCATAGTGTGTTGTAGGTCGAGATTTTACTTTGCGCATGTGATCATTATGCTGATCTATGAAGAAATCCTGCTGCTGGTTTTCCTTGAAGAATTCTCCTGGTAGATTCTCATAGAAGATGCCTTGAAGTAAATGGAAATCATTTTGAACATTTGTTAGAATAAAGATTTTGCCCAAAAAACACTGAATGTTCACTTTCCAATTCTTTTTTGAATTATTGTGATTTTTTTCATTCAAGGTCATTTCAAGGTCGTGGTGTTGCATTACAAAAAACACACGTGAATCTGCAAAAGAATGACGATGAAAATCGGGAATGGAAACGACCTTGACAAAAAATTCACAGATCACAACATTCCTCATTCTAAACCCAACAACTTTGTTCTCACACAATTTTGCGTATCGGTAAAGGTAATGAAGATATTAACGAATCCATGTTAAACGGAACACTCTGTATATTTATATATCTACGATGTGAATTTTGTGCACTGAATGATTACTTGACAACGAGTATAATAACTTAATTACCTAAAAATGTACAAAAAGTTATAATCTTCTAGATCATGAGTAGCCTAATACTAAATATCATACCGGAATGTAAATAAATTACAAATACAGTAATTTCTTATTATAATGCAAAAAGTTGAAATTTATGCATATCTTACGTTTGAGTGAAAAGTATGAAGGAATGAATGAATATGAATTAGTCGTGAAAATATACATAATTTCTTCATTTAAATCGTTTTTCTAAACGAAAAAGTGCATCGAAAAAGATGAATTGAAGTTTTCATCGCGTTGAAAAAAAGAGTATCAGAGTTCATAATCATACAGCAGAGGAGTACAATATATTCTTCACAAGTGTCAGACCGCAAGGAAGCTAAACCTGACACTCGCAGAGTCAGGGACTACGTTTTCGAGCCTCGCGCCCGCCTTTGTAGTTTGCCGAACGTAGACAAGGGCAGCGAATAAAAGATAAGGATGAAACGTAAGTCGAGGGCGATTTAAAGCGATTTAAATACCAACTTTTTTAATTTTACGTTTTTTATCCCTAAATTTTTCTTAACATATTGATGAGATTTTTCTGATGAAAATGACATAAAACAGGACATAATTTGAACAACATTTACTTATTAACACGTTCACTGTCGCGCCAGATTTACAGGTTGTTGTCAGGCGGCCACGAAAAAATACATTTTAAGCATAGGATTATAGTATTATGCTTTACAATTTTTTTTTTCAATTGAAAATAATGTCTAGCTAGCTATGACGTTCAAAATTTTTTATTTAACACAATAATTTCAGCTTTATTATGATTATTCTTGATAAATGACCAGAGGTCAATTTGAGTTTTAATAGTTATAATCGTTAAATTCAGTGTGAATAGAGAAAATGTGTAATATAATTCATTTCACGATATTATAACAATCAAACGTTGAATACATTTTTGATTCGTGTAAAAAGAATAATTTATCACGATAAATTTAGCTGTACTATGGTTATTTTCAATCTACGACCACAGGTCAACCTGATTTTTAATCCCTACGAAATTAATTTAACCACGAGTAAGTAACGAGAACGCTAAAACCTATGTTTCCATTAAAGAATATTGGAAAAACAAACGGACGCAGCATAACGTGTAGTTATAATTGTTATGACATGCAAGTAGAACGATAAATTTAGTGTAAATATAGAAAACGTATAATATAATTTATTTCATGATATTGTAACAAGCAAACGTTGAATAAATTCCTAATTCGTATTAAAAAAATTATTTAACACAATAATTTCAGCTTTATTATGATTATTCTTGATAAATGAACACAGGTCAACTTGATTTTTAATCGTTATAATCTTTAAATTCAGTGTGAATAGAGAAAATGTGTAATATAATTCATTTCACGATATTATAACAAACAAACGATGAATACATTTGACCACAGGTCAACCTGATTTTTAATCCCTGCGAAATTAATTTAACCACGAGTAATTAACGAGAACGCTAAAACCTATGTTTCCATTGAAGAATATTGTAAAAACGAATAAATTGTTATATGAAATGTTATAACAAATTGTCGGAAGTATAAATTTATAACAAAATTGTGAAAATTGATAAATTATACCGTGTTACGATAACAGAAATCTCCCGCGAGAATTTCCCGCGAAAAGTTCCCGCCTGAACTAACCGACGATTTTGCTAATGACTTTGGGGAGAGGGTACCGCAGGTATATAAGGACCTGCCGAGGCTCCGCGAAATCATTCACCCTTTATACTGGGCCATAGACACTTCGCGGCGTATTTTAACCTGAAGGTTCTGAGATGTGAATAGAG